CAACTTTCTTCTGCTCGTTTTGAAATCAATTAGAATCTTATGCAGACTCCTCACATCTAATTACATATTAGATACATCTTGAAAGCACCTAATTAACAATTATCACATAAAAAATATTATCACGCATGTGTTTAATTAAAATTTAATAAATATATTCTTGTATTTCTTTCATTAGAAAACAATTTTTTCTTGGATTCTAATTACATAACTAATTGTACACTAGCTTCTCCCTGTTGTTATGTGTAGTTTTAAAATTCGTATGTTAGATAATTTTCAGCATATACGTTGTGCAAACACATTTTTTCATACCCACCTACAAATAAATGTCAATATAGAGAAAGTATTTTTTACAGAGTACATGCTTTATTTTATAGAAATTTAACGCTTGGTTATTTAAAAATAGTTTATTTATAATTTATTTACAATTTAATTACATCTAGTACTAATTGATTTATTTATACTTAAGCATTATTTCACAGTATTTATTTAATAATTAACCTTTACCTGACAACATTTATATTAAAACTTAACTTAAACTGCAAAATAATTCACTTATATATAAAAATATAACAGTCTAGAAAAAACCAATCCTGGCTAGAAGAATCTCGAAGGGTTCGTGAAATCCTTCCTCCACCCGTCGGGCTGCGTACAAAGAAACATTCTAGTCGAATCTCGATAGCCAGCCTCAGATGTAACGGTAGCGGGGAAGGTCCACAAAAAACAGGGTCAGTCTCAGGCGATCGCACGACAGAAATATTTAAAAAAATTAAATGTTTGTATTTAAAATATAAACATGACCCTAATGAGATGGAAAATGATCGACATTTTTTAATTACCACGGATATCAGTCCCATAATATCATGAATGTCAGTTCCAATGACAAAGATAAAATGAGTATTCCAAAGATTGAGACTAGCGTGAGTTGGAATGTCAAACAAATTATCGATAAGAGTAAAGCCTGCAACGGACTGCAAGCGAGATAATATAATATATATTATAGCTGTGCAAATGGTTTCTCTTCAGCAGCGAATAAATATTTCGCCTTCGACCAGCGCTTGAATTCAAAAAGTGAAAGTCAAAAAGTGTGACAAACAAAAAGACAAACGAGCCTTGTCAAAGACATTTCAGGGATAAATAAAAATTTTTGAATTTCTGGTCAATTCTCCACGGAAGTCTAGTGGCCCCGCCTCCTCGTGGCGAAGGTGGAAACGACTGGCAGGCAGTCAAAACTCGAATTCTCCGACTCGAGTGTAAGCACCCAACAGGGTTACTGCCTGCGGCTAAGAGGGTCCAACCCCCCCTTCAGGGGGGTTAATCTCGCGAGGCGCGTCGGGCTTAAATATAGATAGGACTTAAGTGTAGTGCAAAACATGTCGGAAGTAGGAGACATACCTCTGGAACAAAACTCCAATCTAACGGATGCTGATTTCGATTGGTGGGCGGACCTCGCATCGAAAACATACTCGAAATTGTGAATTTATTCTCCAAAGCAAGAATACAGGCAATGACTAGCGCCATGAGTCTCAAAGACTCTCTAAACAAGAAAAATGAGGTAACACGATGCATCGCAGAAATGAGCGCAATCTTCTCAAAACTAAGCGTTCTATGCGGATCAATAGATGGCAATGAACTAATAAACAAAAGTATTAGTAACCTAGCAGATAAAATTGAACAAATACAAACTGCTGACACCTCGTACGCAGACAAGATAAAGTCTACAACAACAAAAGTCCAAATAACGGCGAACAAGAAGGTTATACCTAAGCTTAAGAAGGCAATAATCCTTACGTCAAGGGACCCTGAAGACCCACTGAAATTGCGAAGACACCAAAAAGCAAATCATGAAAAAGCTCAAACCAGAAAATCTTGGTTTAAAACCTGAGAGAATTACAAGCTTTGGCAAAATTGGCATAAGGATTACTGCAAAAGATATCGACGAAGATAAAGTTAGTAAACTACCAAAATTACGTCATCACTAATTTAGCGTATTAGTATTTATTTTTTACTGAATATTAAAGTTCTATTAGAAATTGTCAAAACATATTCAGTCGATAATGAAGCAGAGCTGATTAAATTCTTATTATTAAAATTAACAAATACAATTTATTTCCTATTAACCAGAGACCAGTAAAAATTAGAGTATTTTCTCATAATTTTCGTAACTTTAGGTATTCGTTCCGTGCGTGACGGCAGCGCCAACTAACATATTGAACTAAAAGGCGATTTTGCGTATGTTGACAGTATTATTATTATTATTATTATTATTATTAATAGAATTCGTAATTAAAAAATATATTTTTTTGTTTTAATAAAAGTAGGTACATGGATTTATAAAACAAGTGAAAAGATTCATTTATTATTATTATATATATTTTTATTATGTAAAGTAAGTATATTTAATAAAAAAATTATTAAAACATGTGCACAGAATAGGTAATTAGGCGAAAGTATTTACGAGAAAACCGTTCCCATAATACTACAAATGGGCAATTCGATTTTTTTGTGTTTTGAGTTATCTACTTTAATGCAACTTTCGTGAGTAAGTCGTAGATGTTCTACGACTTACTCACTTGTACCATTATAAAGATCAACTCACAAGTGGATAAGTCGTAGGTGCTCTACGACTTACCCACTTGTACCATTAAAAAGAGCAACTCACGAAGGTTGCAATAAACTCAAAACACTAAAAAATCGAGTTACCTAATTGTAGTATTAAGGGGAAGAATGAAAATTTGCCTAATAAGGTTAAAGGTTAATATCAAACGTGAATTTAAAATTTTTTCACAAAAAAAACTAGTAATATTTTCGAATGTAATTTATACTTTTGCTTTCTTCATTTTTAGTTTGAAAGAAAACATGGAATTAATTATTAAATAACTGTTTTCCAATCACAAAATTGCATTCCGAATATAGACAATAATCAAAGGATGAGACAATAATCAAAGGATGAAATATATCCTTTCTGAACATGTACTTAAGGAATTTTATATAACATCGTAAAATAATAATTACTTACCTATTTAAGTATTTGAGTACTTAAAACCTTTCAATTTTCTAACGTTTTCTTTTTTCAATAGGTATTTGATACTGTTGTTACAAAAATAAAGGTTTGTAATTACTTTTCCCTTCTCACAGCAGTTATAGGTACGTTTACGTAAAAGGTATACGTATATTTAATACGCTAAAATTACAAAATATCACCCTAAGGTGCTCGAATTATCCGCAGCTTGCGCTAATATCGCTTTTGCTTCCCTTAGCATGACTTCGCACTAAGTGAATTCCAAAACTATTTGGTATTGTTATAATTGAAAAAGCGAGAACAATTCAAATTTAAAATAAAAAACCTAAATTTTAAATATTCACGTTCTTGGAGAATCCTGTATAATTACAATTATTTTTAAATTGTTTATTGCCTTTCCTGATATACGAGGTAAGCGCCAATAATTCCCGGCCTGACATAATTGCAGATATTTTATCAGGATAAAAGTTTAACATTTTATAACTACAAACCTTAGTAGGCTGTGGTAACAAAATAAGCGACTTACGTCAAATAGTTTTTAATTTTCAGCATTTTGAACTAAAGTATCTCCGAAAATGTCTCAGGTGACGAAAATTGAGTACAGAGCGGTTATTAAATTTTTAACAAAAGAAGGGCTTACACCTAAAATAATTAAAGGAACACTCGATGGCGTATATGGCCAAAGTTCCCCTTCCTATTCGGTAGTGAAGGAATGGGCAAAACGTTTTCGCATGGGTCAGGAATCCCTTGAAGATGACGAAAGACCTGGACGGCCAGTGGAGGTGATAACGGAGGACAAAGTGGCCCTTGTGGAAAACCTGGTGCTAAGTGACCGACGTTTGAAGGTCAAGGAAATGGCAGAAATGACCAAGCTTTCTGATACCACTGTTCGCCGAATCCTCCATGATCATTTGGGTATGCATAAGGTTAGTGCAAGATGGGTGCCCAAACACCTTTCGGCGATTCAGAAGCAACGTCGTGTCGAGTGTGCTCGATCGTTTTTGGAACTGTGTGGAGATGATCCGAACCCCGTGTTGGAAACAATAGTCACTGGAGATGAAACTATGGTTCTTTATTATGATCCTCTGTCGAAAAGGGAATCAATGGAGTGGCGCCGTAAGGGTGAAGCCCCCCACGAAAATTTAGAGTCTGCCAATCAACGAAAAAGGTGATGGCTACAATTTTTTGGGATTGTGAAGAAATCCTTCTGATTGATTTTAAAGAGACAAATACCACCGTTAATGGCACATATTATGCCGCATTACTTCATAAGTTGCGGGAATGTATTCGGGAAAAATGTCGAGGAAAATTAATCAGAGGCGTGCGGTTGTTGCACGACAATGCACCCATTCATACTGCTGGCGTTACACAAGCTGCCATCCTAGATTGCGGGTTTCAAAATATAGATCACCCTCCTTATAGTCCAGATATGGCTCCCAGCGATTATTATTTGTTTAGTTATTTGAAAAAGGGCCTTCGCGGGCGACGTTTTCAAGACGATTTTGAGTTACAAGAAGTTGTTTTGGGCCATTTTGAGGATAAACCGAAAGAATATTTTTTTAAAGGGATTGAATTGTTAATTAAACGTTGTAAGAAGTGCATTGAAGTTGAGGGAGATTACATTGAAAAATAATAAAAACTTGTTGTTGTACTTTGCCTCCTTCATTATCAGGCCGGGAATTATTGGCGCTTACCTCGTACATTTCGCTATGAAAGCAGATTTTAAAAAGTTATTAGTGTTCGCTCTACAGAAGGAGGCGTTACCGGTGGTCCACCTTGTATAAAATTAAAAGGAGGGCAAAAGGCAAGTTTTTACGTTCTAAAGTGGTAAAACTACCATATAACACATCGCAGAAAACGTCAAATGTGGGGTCAGAGTTCGATCATAAAAGGTTACATTGATCATAGATGTTTAGATTATATTGAATTTATATTAGAATATATTCAATTAAAATAATGTAATTTATATTACTAGACATACCTGCATTTTAGTTTAGAAGCTATTTCCTCTGAAATGTTAGTCTCTCCTCTACACAACGATTCATAGTACTCCCGCGCATAAGGATCGTTGTGATAAGCATGATCTGGTTGATCCTGCTCTAACTCCACCTCTTCAGATTCATCGTCTCCCTTTTTCTTTTGGGTCTCTATCAATCGCACCAATTCGGCTTCGTAGTAAACCTTATTTCCCATCGCCCTCGAATGCGTCGGCATTATTTCTAATAATTTATTAGTTAAATCTAAGGCGAGAGATAAATCGCCTTGTTTGTATATCGAAAACGCCAAATATTCCAAAATATCGCTTTGGCTTATGGTCTCGTTCTTTTCTTTGTTCAGTCTTCCTTCGGCCTCCTTCATCCACAACCACGTGTGATAGTAGTCGCCGTTATTGTAGCTTTGTCTGCCGAGTTCGAAGCAGTCGGCCGCCGTCAGTTCGGCGCTGTACTTTACGCCGTTCAGTTCACCTGTAAAAAATAGAGACAAAGTTGATTCACATACACAATTAAAAGACATTACCAGTTCGAGAAAACTGGAAACCGGAACATCACATGCATACTGAATTCGAAAAACCAATATCATGTGTCAACCACCAAGACGCTTTGCCGGTGATTACCAATAATCAATTTTAATCAAGATAATTCAATTAATATAATAGTAATGGTTTAACTATTTTGTTAGTTCAATTAAAAATGGTTTCTTAACGTTCGAACGTCCAAATGTTTATTTAATTTAATAGTTCCTGTGGTGGTACAGTAAACGCCAAATCTAAAGAACCAGCGCAAATGCTCAAGTTCGTTTACTTAAAAATCACCACGCCCATTCACAATTTGAACCTTGTCCTTGCTTACGGTCAGTAGCGTAACGACTAGATCATTGTTTGTTTCTTGTTTCTGTGTTTTGGTTAACGTGACTGGTTTTATTTTTGATAATGTCTTCTATTGTGGGTGAAAAAAAGCGCAGATCTGTTATTAACGGACAAAGTCGTGAAGTAATATACAATGTTTTTAAATATTTTGACGCAACAAAAAAGGAAGGAGTTACTTTAGATGATATCAAACTTCAAACTGCACAAGCAACAGATAAACATATTCTGTAGTTTATTTGCAATTAAACTTGCGTAGTTTTCTATATTTTTTTGTATTTTACACACATATCTATGCATTTTATTTTTGACTAATATTTTATATTTAATTTTTTAAATTTATCTTCTGTTTCTAAAGATTTTTGTTTCCTAATGAATGTAAAAAAAAACTAAATTTAACATTAATATAATATTACGTTTTTACAGGTGTTTCTTATACCGTTAAAAGAATTTTGAAGGAAGGTAAACAGTAAATGGAAACAACTGGAAAAATCTCCCTGAATATCAATTGAGGGACATTCAAAGAATAATTTACGATTTTCATATAACAGAAAAGTCTCGTGTTACTGTTAAAAGGTTAACACGTTGAGTACGGGTGTGAAGAAAAAAAAGTCATGTCGAAGGACAGGAAATTTTTGGCACTCATCTTACTCTGATAAAGCTTAATTTATAAATTTTATAGGTTTCAACAATTTTTTTGTCAATTATTTAATTTTTTTTCGTGGCTAAACGTTGATGCCTCGCCGTCTATCTGGCTTAATTCAGAAGGATGGACGGTGAGGCATTGATGTGATGCCACATTTTTGCACGTTTAGATCTGTCGATTTACACGCATGCGAGACAATGCATTTGTGCTGGAGCGGCAGTTGCTGTGTGTTTGAGCTAACGTAAACATAATGGGTGATTTTGAGAAAGAAAAAAGAGATTAGGTAAACTGTGGGATAATTGCTACAAAAACAGGAACATGCTAAAAATCAGTGTTGTATGTTATGCTAAAAATAAAAAGCAATATGGGAGAGTTGACAAAATACAACATACCTTTTAATCCAACAAGTTTGAAACAAGAGTTCTATGAACTGATTAAATCTCATAAGGACCGACATGTAACATATGCATTTGATGAGTTGTGTCGAGAATACGGCCACACCGCTTTACGGTTACCCCATATCACCCCGACTTGAACCCTATCGAAGTGTTTTGGGCAACTGTTAAGAATAATGTCAGTCAAAGGAATGTTACCTTTAAAGTAGAAAATGTATAACAATTAGCAGAAGAGGAATTTAACCAAATCGGTATGGAGGAATGGAAAAAGCGATGCGATCATGTTATAAAGGTAGAAGATAAATGTTTTGAAAGAGAAATACAAACTGATTTATGTTCGGAAATTATCATATCGTCATTAATCCTAATGAGGATTTCAGTGACGACAGTGAGGGTGTTGGCCACTTGGTCGCCGCGGTTAGTTTTGTCAGCGGGGTTCCGTAATCTCATCGACCACTTGGTCTCCAGTTTTAAAATCAGGTAGGCCTCTTGGTCGCCGTAGTTATCAATCATTAAAGGTATCTGGGTTAAATGAAATCTACATCCAATAATTAAGATATCAGGCCAAATCTGTATAATACCAGTGTGTATGGCTTTCTCAAAATCGCAAATAACTTTACACAGCTTCCAATCTAAATTTAAATTATTATAACAGTAATCTTTTAATAATTTAAATGCAGTTGCATAGGTACTTGCTCTTTTATCTGGTAAAACAAAAAATGCCAATGGTATGTAGTGTCCGTTATCAACAGCATGCATAGTGAAAAATTGTAAAAAAAATTTAGGGCAATAATTAAATGTGCCGTCGCAATAAATACTATCACGAGAACACAAGTATTTTAAATTTGAATCACATGAAAATAAAATAATTTGTGAATCTTCATTGTTAAATAATAAAAATTGTTCACCCTTATTTGTAACACATTGTATTGCTTTCAGTACACTATGAACATCACTGATACACTTTGGCAAAGGTGGCAATATACTTCTTCTTGCCCTGTATATGCTTCGTCTGATGAGGTCAACATCCGTAGTGGATACATTAAAAGTATTTCCTTCCCCTCGGATTCCGTTATTAATTAACTTACTGGGTTTAACGCAAATATCTTCTGTTGCCTTTCTTTTCAATCCGTTTTGAAGTTTTTTTACATCTAAATGGTCCGATGGTGGATGATTGTGCTCACTCTTAGATTTCAATAAGACAGTTTCCGAATCGTCCACTCCAATAGTCGCTTTACACCCACGACGAGTACACTTATATGATACACCTAACTTTGTTTCCTTGTCTTTTCCAAATGTATATTTTTTTACAATTAACAACTTTTTTCCTTTTACACTTAACATCGACTCCATTGCAACACAAACTCAAAACTTCTTTTATGGAATAATGAATAAGATGAGAATCACTTTTAAAATAAAAAAATTAATCTTTTCAGTAAGAATGCAGACAATTAACTGATGAAAAATATTTTTATTTTAGTTCTCGACAGGTCACAAACCGATATTATAATTAGAGTAATTAAATAACCCCATAATTTTCTTGGAACCCTTAATCCAGGTTTGGAGACCAAGTGGCCTATACCTTTCGAATAGCGAAAGGATTAAATTTGGGTAAAATTGACCGCGGCGACCAAGAGGTATATTCCCGACAGTGACGAGTCTTCTTCCAACAAAGAATCTGACGAAGACATATAAACATTATTTATTTGTGATTTACTGTTTACGTTGTTTGTATTTACTTATAGGCTATATAATATAAAATTAAACATGTTTTTGTTTTTCTTAAATTTACGTAAAATCAGAAGTTATTTGGACTATTCAGTTTTGAAATGAAGACCCGGTATAAAAAATCGGAAGGATATATTACTTCATACACATATTATTTCATATTTTGCCTATAAAAAAATAATGTCAGTTAAAATACAAAATACTAGACCACCAGAGGTCTCCTTATCCTAAAGTCTGCTTACCTAAAAATAATGATTTTTTCATTGACTATAGAATTATGTACTAATAACACTCAGCAATATGTATGAACAAGCATCATTCACTATTTTCCATTTATTTTATGTCTTAAAATATACGCGCCCCTGGTTTACAACTTTCTAGGTAAGCTACCAATTCTATTCATCGGTAGGCGTGTTCGTCCTTGGTTCTTTAGATTTGGCGTTTACTGTATCTATTTGACGAAGTAAATGATGATGGCTTTGTAAAAGTCGAAAGCGCTAACTTTTAATAAAACAAATTACACACTGAAGTATACCTTTCACTCTTCATCTAATAAATGTATTACCAAAGACGCCCAAAAAATTATATCAACGAGCTTATGCTATCTTCATGGATTGGAAAAGAAAAATCAAAATGCAAACGCATTTTCGGAAACCGTTTTAGTTGCTTATTTTAGTGAAGTGTCGAAAACAATAATTAAAAGTTCTGCTTTGTGGGCACAATATTCAATAGGCATTTTAGGAAAGCTAGAGATTACTGGACAAGACGGACCACTGAACTTAGTGCAGACAGTTTACAAACGAGTTGAATTATTGTTCTTGTTTATTATTATTTGTTAATTTTTGATTTTCCCAGCAATATTATAAATCCTTGAACAATTTTAATTAAAAGATTCATGTTTTTTACATTGGTAGTCTGACTAATAAAGTCGCAATATACACGAAAAAAATGTAGTAGAGTTGTAGAAATATACTTAACTTTTTGTAGCAAATTTTACTATAATTTATAGTTAAAAACTATTTATAATTATAGCAATTAAATTGTCGAATAAAAAGCTACCTACAACAGAAATGAAGACAATGTTTAATATATATTACTATTAGGCATTCCAAACTGAATGGCTACCAGTGGGTTTTGACAACTTATGATATGGCAAAATTATGGCAACCCTGTAGGCCTGGTGATTTGACAAGGTCAATGAAACAGATAGTTACATAGATTGATCATCCATATTTTTCAAAATAAACATAAGCTTATGCCTTGAAGTAAAAATGTAAGATATTATTTTTTTTAAATATCTAAAGGCTGAAAATTGGTTTTAAAACACATTTTTGCTAAACCGATTCAAATTAATAAATATTTGCCAGGCATTATTGCCGCTCGCAAACGACCAGCTTTGAGCAATCTATATAACTATATATGTATCATTGGCCCTGTTTATGACAACATGACAACAGGGTTTATATCTAAACTGTCAGTCCCCACTGGTAGCCATTTGGACAGGTCGTTGAAATGCCTAATTATGCATTTCAATGACCTGTCAAAATGGCTACCAGTGGAATCTGACAGTTTAGATATGGCAACCCTGTTGACATATTGTTATTATGTTTATACATTTGGCTAACTTTTCTTTATTTCAATCTTCCGATTATGGAACAATAAATATTATACTAGTAACATTTCTCTTCTGCTAAGAATTGTAATAATTGGCATTATTATTTGAAAATATAAAGAATTTAACAAAAACTCTAAAAAAGTATTTTTTTAATGTTTTAACTTAATATTCAAAAGAAAACGCACGTATTGCAATAAAACAAACAAATAGGTTATTAC